TCTCTGTTAATAAGGTTATTGATTAATTCATCATTCATTATCTTTCAATGTTAGATTAAGTATTTATACAGTTAATTACAATGTATCCTCATCACGAACAAGCTATAGATTTCTATGGCTTCTGTGATTATCTTGTTTATTTTCGATAGCACTCTATGTAATGTATATCAGTGTATGCGATAATAAACATATTATTATTATCATTATTATTATATTATTTTTAACTGTAATATATAGTGGGAACTAGAACTATTATTATTATTATTATTAAATCGCTGCTGAACATTATTTCAGTCTTATATTTCCCACTTTTCAAACATCACAAACGACGAAACCCTAAACTTCAAAGTAGACTTTGCGTAATTTAGTTATTCTTCACATTACTTTCGTTTCAGTTGGCACCCCTGTGTAGAATTAATCCGTCCGCAGACAACACTTAACCTCCTTATCTTATCAAGTTGAGGGCGTCAAAAGTATGCTGGAGAAGATGGTTCTCCACTCAAGAGTATAAAACATGTTTTTAACAACAACGTTACTGAGGAGAGGGAAAGAGAAAGAAAACGGGCGATTCTCCAGTAACTGAAGGTTTTATAACACTTCACGACAACTACAGAGGTACACAACGTTAACATGAACCGATCTTGGAATTTGAGAAAACATTTAGAGATTAAGGTAAGAACAAACCTGTTGAAAATCTATTTTTCTGTTAACCAGCTGTCGTCCCTTTTAGAACGACAACCATCGTCATTAAGAAAATTACATGAAAAATCTGGAAAATCCAGCAGAACAAACGTTGAGAATTGATATAATAAACAACACTTGGAATGAAACCATTGAAGTGTATAGTATTTCCAATACCAATTGGAACAGCACAGAAAAGGAATTCCCGCCTCGACATAGGCGTCGGCATATTATTTTTCAGTGGTAGTTTTTCAGTTACTTATTCTTAAAATCATAGCAATTGATCACCCCATGAAAAAGTTATCTCAACTGAATTTTTCCACCATGGGTAATTATGAAAAACTTCCGAAATTCAAGGTAGTTGATTTCCGAGTCGAAAATAAAGTACAATGAAAACACAAATAATCACAACAAATTCTTGTCAAACATACATTTACAAAATAATGGAGGCCAACAAATTTGCTAGAAAAATCAAAATTCTTCTTCGCTATATTCGGATGAGGTGGAATCATCATCGACTTGAATAACAATCAGATTTATAGAACTTTGCACATAATATTTGTTCTCTTCTTTTATAACGTGGGCCACACAGTTCTTCCACATATCAGTATTACCTACTTCATTGACCACTCGCCTTATATTGTCAAGCACCATAGCTTTTAAATCTATTGTTGACAAATTGATTTGCAGGTAGTGGTTCCACTAGTTAATTATCGAAAAATCAATTAGGATAATCATCATTTAACAAACAAAGTCCACATCGGACAAAAAAACTTTAGGTATATAAACAGCTAACCATTGCCTTTAGATTCAGTATCAATTTGCTTCTCCTGAAGATGCTAACCTTGTTAGCGAAACGCGCGTCGAGTGCAAAAATATCAGTTTAGTGTTAGGGTAATTGATCTCTAGAAAAAGTTTTCAAAAATCGGTTTGCAAAACCACTCACTACCTCACCTAACCCCACGAACACACGGCACTGATAAAGAAATATTGTGAAACGACAAAAAATTAGTATTCAACCAGTCCAGCTAGCCGAGCCTTTATTCCTCAACTACATTAGATAGCACGTTTACTAAGCATCTGGGCTACTAGGGGCCACAGGCAAGAAATGTTTATGACGGTACTCTTATTTTTATTGCCGTTCCAATTGGGAATGGATAGACTATACAACAATTACAAAAACTAGCGTCTCTCCCCGAAACGCACGCCCAATAATTGACTAATCCAGACAATTTTTTTTACCTCATTTTACAATACTGGTATTGCAGTTTGCAAAAGTATCTCTAATATTTCTGAAAATAACACACAACAGTTACTATATCATTTTGTAACTTTCTATTGGTGTTTTCTTTGTTTGTAGTGGATAAATCATTATGAACCATGAAAACTTATGAGAGCTAAGGATTTCCGAGCTTTTAACTCCAGCATATGAATCTTGCATTCACAATAGCGATTGATTCAATGCTGAACAACAAGCTATTGTTTGATCATTAGGTTAGGCGGTTGAATAAGGTATACCTTTGAAAAATGATAATATCATTAGTAACAGTTATATTGCCCAAATTGTTACTTTTCTACCAATGACCACTTCGTAATTTACCAGTGATACGGAACGCGCCCTTGCATTCCAGACTACTTCCGAACATTCCAAACTATTCCAGAATGTCCGGGTATATGGAACCAGCCAAACGTTACACTCATGCTCAATCTCCAAAGAGATGGGATGAAATCACACCTCCATAATATGGGGCTAGTGGACACACCTCTATGCACGATGTGTGGACAGGAAGATGAAATTGTTAGGTATGTCCTACGCGAGTGTCCGGAGTTAGCGTCAATAAGAGAGTGGGTGTTCGGCGAGTCTTGGCCTACACCTGCCGATATAAAGGAGATGTCTCCCAGTGACCTTTCCACCTTCCTGGAAAGGACAGGATGGACGATTACCTAGGAAGATGTACAACGGGTCACATATGGCCTAAGCTGCGAGTCTACACTCACCCTCCCTACTCTACAGATACAGAGATACAGATACTCTAGCTAGACTGTTCTGGACTATTCTAGTGACTGTTCTTTCTGGTGAGAAAATATCCAGCCCTCAAACCTTCAAAAGCACGTCCTTCGCGTGAAAACGAGAACATTATCCATGGATGGGGGATATATAGCTATGGTAGCTATAACTTCCTTGAGTTCCGCAATTATTTGAGAAGTTTCGGGATCTTACACAAATTACACCTGAATCTAGGATACTGAAAAGTTTCCTCAGGAATACTAATGCGAATGGATATTTACCAACCAATAGTAGATTTGCTTTCAAATTCACAATAATGTATTTGTATCAAATGTTTACTCACCATCCCTATACCACTTGACTTCTGGATCAGGGGAACCACCGATACTGGAACACGTCAACTCCTGCTTCTTTCCTTCAGTGACTGTTACGTATGAACTTGGGGCTATGGCAGGCTCTTGAGGAGCCGTTAGTACGGTGAGTAAGTACCTCTGAACGTGAAGATTGGCTCCAGATCCTCCTGCTTTGACTTTACATTCGAACTTGCCGTTGTCTCGGTCGTAACTGGCATTGGATATCAATAAGTCATAGATACCGTTCTCCACTTGATAATTCAATCTGCAAAAAAATTATTCAATGAGGTATGAGGCATCAGATTCAAAATTTGACTTCTGTTATTTGTGGAATGAATTATATGAAAGGATGGTGAACCATATTCATCCTCCTGAGAAGTAAAAAAATTGAGAAGAGAAAACTTTTCTATATTCATCAAATTGATGAATTGAATATTTATAATGGAAACACTTTTTCAAAATTCAGGCGAGATATTTCTCCCTCATTTTTAGAGAACAGAAAGTTATACAAGTAATTCCAAAATGAATCATCAATATGATTGAGTTTTGCAAAAACATAATACGAAAACATCAAATGTAATAAATATAGTTTAAAAAACTAAAAAACACGCTTTTGAAGAATATCAAACTAAAAAGTTGAAGATTATTTTTTTTTCAATAAGCTTAAAACAAAAACGAACGAAAAATACTATAGTATTATTGTGAAAAAAGTGACGGGCGCTTGATACACAAAAAAAAGGCACAAATTTTCACAATAATACTACTATTTTACGTTCGTTATTGTTTTAAGCTTATTAAAGAAAATATTTTTAACTTTTTAGTTTGATGTTCTTTAAAAGCGTGTTTTTCAGTTTTTTAAAATATATTTATTTTTAATTTTTTAGTTTCGTATGCTATAAAGGCGTGTTTTTAGTATCTTCAAACTATATTTATATTATCTAAAGTTTAGGATCAATCAGCCATATATTGTTTAAAAAAATGACCATTGATAGATTCCGATTCCGGAGAGGGAGCCTGAAAATCAGCTACCAAGCGCGCGTGATAATAAAAAAAATACTTTTTTCAAATGAAGAAATACATGTAAAGTGAGTTCGAATTATATCAAGGAGGTTATGTACAAACTCCATCTGCCCGTAAAAAAATAACAATACGCCAATGGAAGTATCAAATGGGAGATACTCTGATACCATAGAAAATGAAACTACCCAGCGGATTTGCATACCTCCTGTTTTCATCAATGGTCGGAGTAATTCAAGAGGTTTGTGTGAATTTCATCAACGTTTTGTGTAAATTGGTTGAAAAAGGACAATTTTATTCAACATAGCTGGGGCGAGCCGCTAATAGAAGGTGCATTTTGGTTAACTTTTGAAAACAACCTATCGAAGTCGATGATTCGGAAGATAATTGAAGTGGATTACTAAATTATAAAGCACTACATTATTTCTATATTGTTGCTCACGACTTCATATCGCAAAGACTTCAGTTTTTAGTTTTTTTCTTAGATTCTCTTACAGTAAAATGTTCCCATGTATGTGTCTATCTTTAATTTATAAGAAACCAAAGATTAGCTGAACCTTGTGAATTGTATTATTTTTTCCCAATAAATATGTACAGTAATTCTATAAATTGACATATTTTTGGAATTATGAACCGATTGAAATGAATCAGACACTAAATATTAAGGAAAGCTATTAAAATAGATTAGTGTTAACCACATCCAAATTGGTTGTCGTTATTATATGTTTATACTAATGATAATATTGATAAAATAATGGTAATGGTTGTCAACTCGCCTTCTCACAATAATTTTAAGGGGTGGTATATTCAAAATATGAGCAGACAACTTTTACATGATTGAATAAACTGAATATTCAATATGAATTTCGTGAATTCACTCCAGTTACTTGTTTTACAGCCGTATATTTCAATAGAAATGTTTCAGCATCCTAATACTTTACTGCGAAATGTTGCTAAATATGGCTAGACACAAAGCAACAAAATTCATTCACGCTTATTAAAGGCAGATGTGTAGCAAATGGAATCGTCAGACCATTCATTACAACTGCGAGTATGAAATCAAATTTTAAGAATTACAGAGCCTTGACGTGAGACTGCTATAAACCAGAACATAAAACAATTCAACCTGGCTGAAAGACAATATACGCCTCTTGCAATCTGAAAGAAAACTGCATTCCTGGCGACTTAAGAATATAATGTACAATAGTAATGATAATAACGACGGAACGTGGAGCTTGAAAATGGAAGAATTCTATATAGTAAATCGATGCCGAAGAAAATTACATTATGGAGTAAGAATATATTTTGAAAGAGATGCACTATTTTCCTTGTAGTTTTAGTAAACAGTTGGAAAAAATAGGTGATAACCGTCTTGTTTAGTGTCTGGAGACCAATAATTTGCTTTCCAGTTTCTCGGAGGAGGATCTCTTGATATCTTCGAGCACTGTTTCGTTAACAATAGTTGAGTCAATAGTTGAAAAGAATCTCAGAACCAAAATAGAAGATGCTGCGACAAATTATCGTATTATGGAAAATGGAATTACTCAGTGCTCTACTTCGAGTTTGTAATTCCGTCCAGTTAGATAGTTGAGAACATTCCAAAGGAATAACTCAGAATGTACCTATAAACCTCTGAAGAAGGTAGCTACTGGCGCCAGCGAAACGTCAGGAAGAAATTAAAAAAAACGACGGTCTTCAAAGCCGAAAAATAGTGACACTGATTCCAAAGGAAGTTTATAGAAACATTAAGTCGATGATGAAAAAAAAAGACGTCACACTAATCCAGATGTCCTTTATTTCAATGGCTTTGGGTGGATGCAGTTTTTTTGGTGGGGTTAAATGACGAAAGCTAGCACATGTTTATGCTGAGCTGTTAGATATTGGTGTGGCCTATGAGTCGCTGGAGTTGCAGCGAGAAAAGAAATTGTAGTTTCAAATGTCTTTCCTCATTACGAGAAGTAATTGTGTTGATTAGACAGAACTATTAATCACGGCTGTTTCTCAATAAAAGTCAATTAATGAACCTCCAATTGTTTAAAATGCAACGGCTTCAAAGATAAAGACAGAATAACTAAGTTCGTGTAATAGATATATCCTATGATACAATAATTTCAATGAAACACAAACACATTTTCACAATTTATTCTGGTGCTTTCATAAATAATCAAATTTGGAATTTTATAAAGAATATCAAACAGATTTTGGCTTTCTACTTCTCCATTTTGATACAAAAAAATATGGGAATCCTTTCTTTCTCATAAATTGATTTCTCCTAAATATATACACCTTTCAGTTTAATCAAACAAATATGTATTGATATTTCAGTTGAACACATTTTTCTATTTTTAGGTATTCATTGATAGTCATTATCGTTATGATTGATATCTGGTTTCGATAAGTTGGACAATATTTTTAGGGAATAGTCCTTCTGAATATTTCATTGAGAATAGTTGTTCCAAAATAAGCATATGCAATGGAAGGTTTCATTCAAGAAAAATGGAGTTGTTTTTTCTGGTGATTTGAATGGAATAAATTATCTGCAATTGAACGACCGTTGGTTATTTCTGTTTCATTCATCCATATATACTTCGAAAGAGCTGAAATAACTGTGAAAACTGATAGGAACAGCAGATAAAAAAATTATATTTTGCAGAACACATACAAACAGTATCCGACTCAAAGATAACACTTTTAAAAGGAAAATAATTGTGTAAAAGAACTAGAGATTGAACCAAACTATTCACCCAGTATTAGTTTATAATTCTGACAACCATCCGAACCATATCAACTATGTTGAAAATTAGGAGATTCCCTACATTCGTGCTGAGTTGATAATTCAATCTGGAAAACGGGAAATGTTGGGTTTAACTACATCTGAATTAATTGGGGTATTAGATAGGGGTTGTATATTGCCGTCTGAGGTTTGTATTGTTATATCACAATCCTATGGATTAGTTGAATTAGACTAATTATTTGTAGCTCCACTAGGAGAGTATAAATGTGCTCACCGAAAATGAAATCAGATTTTGGAAAAATTAGGGCTGAAATCAATATTATCTAAGGGAACATTAGATTAGTATTGGTGACTACCGACTACTCTAGATTCTATAGTCCGTTCATAATTTGTTGATAGCTCACTGCAAGTTTGACCCTCATTAGAGAAATGCCTCCAAATGCTACGCCTTATATTAGGAAAATGAATCATATTATATATTACACATCGAGACGGTATCCAATTGGGTTAACGTGGGTGGTTTGCTCCACCCACTCAATTGACCGCTGTGTGAAACGGTGGTCCAAACCGCGAAGCCCTNTGATGATGATGACGAAGCCATCGCAAGCAATCAAACAAAACAAGCAGGAACGAAAGGTACGTATATGTTTGTAGGAATATGAAAAAAAGTTACTCACGCACTGCACAAAATTCGCAAAATAAATATTAGAGACGTTAATTACTGCCGTAGACGCCGAAACACCAACGAGCCGTAAATTAAATGCGATTAAAAAATGTACTAAACCAAAAATTATTTTCGTTCGTAACAACTTCACTCTTTCAAAGCAAGTTTCGAATATAAACTGAAGCTTTATATTTAATGAATAAACATCTCAGGAACCTCCGCCTATGATTTTACGAGTTTTACGACCGTTTTATGACTTGGGCCCTCATTTTGTGCTATCGACAAATTATGAACGGACTATAGAAGACTGAATTTGTTTTCATTTTTTCACGGGGCGACATAAATAACCTCTTTGATTTGGAGTTGAATTTTCTCAGTGCACAGTTCATATGAAAAAGCGACAACTGGAAAACTGCCGAATCTCACAAACGTATTACCATAGTTTCATCCAAATTATTGACTGATTTATACCTTGGAATTATTCATGAGATTCGACGGATTTTCTATACATATAATTTGAAAACACACAATCGATAAAGTTCATTATTTTTGAAATTGATATGGAGCAGTGAATGGCATTTTTGAATGCAAATAAAATTGGTTGGTTCAATTTCACATATAATGTGGTTAATCTGTTTAAAATCCGGTCAATTCAGACATCCGAGGGTACAAAAATTCACACCCAGCTCAAAGTTAGTAGGATTGTTCAAAACACCATCATGAAGGAAACCTAAAAATCCTCATCGATACCTGCAAAAATAATTACTCGGAGTTTTAGGTCACAAAAAACGGTTGTTTTGCTATTTTTAGCAAAAGTTTTAGTTCAAAGTGCTGAAGTTATCAACAACGG